GATGCAACATATGTAGTTATTTGCTTGGTTCATGGAAACAGCAATAAAACTGGCCATTATTAGAACTTTTATTTTTGTTTATGTCTATATTCTGCCTCTACACTATTACAATGTAGACTACTGAAAGCAGGGTTTGGAAAACATTGCCTGTAAAAATTCAGATAGTAAATATTGTGGCTTTAGGGGAAAGAATTGGACCTTGGTCTTGTAATTTTCTTTTCTTTAACAACCACTTAGTGAAAAAAAAAGAAAATAAGAAAATGTAAAAGCCACTCTTCGCTCCCCACGAGATGGAAACAAAACTGGCCTGCTGGCAGGGTCTGCTGACCCGTCTAATTTCATCAAAAGCAAACCAAAACCAATAACCTTCCAAAGCTCATAGAACACGAACTTATTCACAGAAAGCTCTGGACAAATGCCTGGTGACATAAATTTATAAAATAATTGATGGAAAAATGGTCACGTGGTCACTAACCCTCCCTCTAAGACTCTCAGAAGTGTATTATTGTTGTTGTTAATGCTACTGCATTTATGCTACTGTGGTGGGGTGAAATGAAAAGGCACCGCTAGAGACAGTTCTTAGATGGTCCAGGAATCCAAACACGTTTGCTTCAAGAACACTGATGAAGGTGTGTGTGGTCTGGACCCTCAGACGCCCTCAGGCCTATGAACCATCTTTCGCAGTCTGGAAAAGAAGTTTTCCTTCCAACTTACTTTGTCCTTTTTGAAAATGAATCAAGAGTATTTGAGCAACCAGAGAAAATTCCGGAGCCCAAGACTCACCTGTTCTGCCAACCGCCATCTTCTGAGCAGACAATTCACCGGAGATGCAGCTGATGGTAACTTGATAAAGGCGCCCAGGGGTTAAGTCTTTAAAGTGGATGTCAGTAAGCTGAGGTGCTAATTTGTGCTCCCTCATGGTCCCTTGGTGAGACAGGGTGATGTTGTAGGAATCCACATCTCCAACAGGTCTTTGCCACTTGACGCTTAGAGAGGTCGAACTGCCATCATTGGTTACCTTCAAATTTGAGACCTCCTTGGGGGCTAGTTAGGAAAGAATGGAAACAAGATTTTTACTCAGGGTATCTTGCCAGTAACGGAGCCATAGTGGCACTGTCTTTCAACTAGCCTTAGTGTTCAGCTACTACCTGTGAGGCTGACAGTTCAAACCCACCAAGCACTACCAGCACTGCAGGAGAAAAACGAGGCTCTCTGTTCCTGGAAAGACTTGCAGTCTCAGAAGCACTGGGCAGGGATGCTCTACGTCGGAACTGACGGGAGGACAGTGGGTTTTATCTTACCAGTATAAGAGGCCAAATTTTAAATCCGTATTTAAATTCTTATAAACCACACTCATTGCTCAGAAGAAAACATCCACTCCAGAATGTAAAAGTAATGCTGTGAGGCTAAGGTTTTCTAGTTTGTGGAAAGAGGAGAGTCCCGGCAGTCAGGAGCCTGCCGTATTCTGGTGGGGCTCTTCGTCAGCCGGACGGCTCTGGGTGTCTTCCCAAGGATGGCGCTCCTCACTGATAAGTCAGAACTTGCTCAGAAGACCCCCCAAAAAAGTCCTTTCGCCTTCTAAAATTCTTTAAATGGTGCTCTGTCATGCTCAGAGTGCTCTGTCAGCTTCCAGTGTCTATAGATTCAATAATAGAAACTATATAATAAACACCCATTGCCACTGAGTTGATGCCAATCCATGGTGACCCCGTGTGGCAGAGCAAAACCATAGGGTGTTCAGTGGCTGATTGCTCAGAAGGAGGAAACCAATCTTTCTTCTGCGGCATCTCTGAGTGAAAAAGAACTCTTACCTTTTTGATTAGCAGCTAAGTATGCTGGTTGTTTACAACACCACAGACCTCCATATGATAAACACAGTAATTGAATGATGAGAACAAATTTTTGGTTGGTGTGTTAAAAATGTTTCATGTTAAATGAGAATGTTATGGTTGAGTCAGTTTTATCCATTAAAGAAAAATGATTGCAAAGGAGAGACACTGTGTGTGTGTATTTTTTCTCTCTTTTGCTCCTGTTGTGATTTTGGGCCTCATTAAGGGTGTAATTTTCACTAATGAGTCTTCAGTAAAGAAATCACATATCATTGAGTTTTCAAAGCAAAGTTAGAAGTGTATCTCACCCTTGGTATAAATAAATAATTCTTATGATACACGAGTATATTACATTTTTATCAAGAATGTCAATGTATGTTGGAAGAGTGACATGAAAGGCATGTACACGGACAGACATACTCAAATGTCTTTTGAACCACAACAATTTCCAAGGCACTGCATATTTTAGATTTCTCTTAAGATTAGATAATTTGTCAAGAAAGGAAATTTACTAGCACATCAGACGCCCCCGAAGTATTAGAATCGATTAGAACGTAAGCTCGATGAGGGCGAAGACCTTGTGTCTCTTGAGTACTGCTCTGCCTACAATCCCCAGCATGGATACCTACTCCTCATTACCCTCATCACCTAACACGTCACCTGTATGACAAGAGTAAAGGAAAACGTGGCTGAAACTGCAGCTCATCATCTGTCTCAATGACAAATGTCTGTCAAGAACACGCACCGAGGTGCAAGACAGGAGACATGCTGGCTCTGAGGTGTGTGTGAACTTGGCAGAGTCATGATTCCCCAAGGTTTGGCAGATACATAACGATGCAATTTGGCAGTTTTGTAATAGTCATTCTTTATTTTGTGAGTGATATAATCATTCCCTACTTCACATACCGATGATTTTTGCATTAAAATATAATCTTTGGAATTTAACCATCCCTCTAAGGGAGGAGTGGGCATTGTTGATATTAAATAAATACTGTTTGGTTGAATGAATGGATGCAAAGGCATGAACTATTATTTGAAACCTAGAACACTTTGGTTTATCATGGTGGATTAAGCTATGAAAACAGGTCCTATAGAATGGGGTCGTAGGGCATGTTTCCTTGAATAGAGGGTTTTCAAAATTGTTGTAACCATGTGACTGTAGCAGGCCTGCATTTGTGGTTAGCTGCCGCAGAGCCCGTTCCAGCTAGTGAGGAGCCCCTGTACGACAGAACAAAACATCGCCCAGTTCTGCATCGTCTTTCTAATCATTTGTAGTCGAGTCCATTGCTGAAGAAACTGGGTCTTGTGAGTGCCTTCTAACCTGGGGGCGCCTCTTCCAGCACTCTATAGGACAGCATTCTTTTTGAGATGGAAAGGATTTTCCAAAACTAATTTTCAAATGTAGATCATCGGGCTTCTCTTCCTAGTCTGTCTTAGTCTGAAGCACCACGGAAACCTGTTCACCATGGGAGACCCTACAGGTCTCCGAAATACTGGTGGGGTGGCTTCCGTCATCACAGCCACACACAGATCTCACAATATGACCACCTCACAGAGGGGTGCTGAAGGTCTGTGGAGCTTATTGCTGCTTGCTTCTGTCTCGAGTTGATTTTGAATCATGGGGATGTCAGCGGATGGGTAGAGCTGTCTGATGGGATTTTCTAGGCTATAATCTTTGGGGGAGCTAGACTTTTCTCCTGCTGAGTGCTGCAGGCTCTGGGCTTATCGACAGCATTGACCAAAGTAGGAATGGCCCAATGGCCCAAAGGATGCCTGCTTAAGAGAAGGCAGTAGGAATGGGTGGACTCAATGAGAGAAGTCAAGCACTAGCATAAACCTAACAATCAAAGGAGATTATTTGTTGATGAAACAATTCTTTGCTTTGAGCTGTATTCTTGCCCACTACCTGGAAGGACGTACCTGTCCGGACGAGTTTCCATCTGTAGTTTTGCAGGCCGGCAGCCTCTGTCACAATAGTGAGGTTGTAGAGGTGACCAGGGGTCAGCCCACGAAAAGTGAAGGCAGTAGCCTGCTTGTCCCCGGTGCTGGCCTGGACTAGAATCCCTTTATCCATTAGCATCAGCTGGTATCGGTCCACATTCCCCGAGCCAGGAGACCAGGAAATCAAGAGAGAATCGGTTTTGGTGGAAATCCCAATATCTTTCACTGGAGATGGCACTAGAAGGGGGGAACGGGAGGGGAGGCGGAGAGAAAGCATGGCTAAAGTGTTATGCATAATTTCCTTGTGGAGGACATAAATACATTGGATTAGAGATCACGTATTCATTTGTGCATCTTTGTAAATCTATTTGGAGTAATACCAGTAACAAATAACAGCACTCTTGAATTTCAGTTGATGATTGGTCTTTTGAAAGTCTACAGCTTAAAGCTACACCATGACTGTCTGTCTCCCCAACTCGGTAGATGCCACTGAGTTGGTTTTGAGTCGTTGTGACCCTGTGCGCAAAAAAGTAAAATGCTGCCAGGCCTGCACCATCCTCACAGTCATTAGTACATCGGAGACCACATTGCAACCATTGTGCCATCCAGCTAGTCAAGGATCTGCCTCTTTACTGTTGCTCTGGAACTTTGCCAAGTGAGAGAGAAAGATGGGGCTTTCGGCTCCTCTGAATAGCTAGTCTTAGAGACTCCCAGGGGAGTCCTACTCTGACCCACAAGGTGGAGATGAGTCAGCATCAACCTGCTGGCAGGGAGTTGGGAGTTTGGTTCTACTTTACCAAGCATGATGCCCTTTTCCAGGGACTGGTCTTTCCTGATACTTCCAGAGTGTGTGAGGTGAAGGTGCACATCCTCATTTCTGAGGAACATTTCAGCTGTTCCTCTTCCAAGACAGATTTTTGTTGTTCTTTTGATAGCCCGTGATTCTTTATATATTCTTCCCCAGCACCATAATTCAAATGGTTTGTGTAATGCAATGTCCAACTTTCACATGCACATGAGGCGATTGAAAATACCGTCGCTTGGGTCAGGTGCACGTTTGTGACACCATTGCTTTTCAATACTTTAAAAAGATCTTGTGCAGTGGATTTACCCTCTGAAATGTGTTGTTTGATTTTTTGATGGCTGCTTTCATGTCAATCTTTTGTTTATCTATTGGTTCAGTTGTGAGGATTTTGTTTTCTTCATTAAGTTGTAATCCATATTAATGCCTGCAATCCTTGATCTTCATCAGCAAGGACTTCAAGTCCTCCTCACTTTCAGCAAGCAAGTGGTCTGCACATGCTAATAAGCCTTCCTCCAGGACTGCTGCTGTGTGCTTCCTCACATCGTCCACTTTCTCTGATGATTTGCTCAG